CATGGGTTAGAGCTGATTAAGCCCAGCTGCGGTTTGGGCTTGCAGAGTCGCAGGCTATGCTAAGCTGGGTATAGCCGGGATGGAAACCTCTTTGTGGATTCTTGGGGCTGCTGATTTTAAAATGTTCAGCCTGAGTAGCTGTGGTTTAGCATCCAACTTATTTACTAATGGACTGGACAGCCCTTCATCACCCTGGCGTGAGACTAATCCCTCTTTCCTTCCCGATGGATATTTCTGCACTGAACACTTCTGCATCATTGTTCACAATGTTCCCACCCTCCTCTACGGTAGGGTCTGGATCACCTACAATCCTGTAAACACTTCTGAACCTACCTGCGGGATCAAACCTGTTATTTGTGGTGGTTTGTCCGCAGAGGAAACATCCTGCGGGTCTCTCCAAGTGCTCCTACCCTTGGCGGTACTTCCAACAACACTGAAATGAAATCTCAGGCTCTCGGGGAGGTGGCGTCATGTTTAACTATTAAAAACACTGGGGCTACGTCTAGACTGGCATGATTTTCTGGAAATGCTTTTAACAGAAAAGTTTTCCGTTAAAAGCATTTTCGGAAAAGCGCTTTTTCCGGAAAAGCATCCATGGCCAATCTAGACGCGCTTTTCCGCAAAAAAGCCCCGATCGCCATTTTCGTGATCAGGGCTTTTTTGTGGAAAACAGTACTGTGCTGTCTACACTGGCCCTTTTACGCAAATCTTTCGGAAAAGACTTTTGCCCGAACGGGAGCAGCATAGTATTTCCGGAAAATCACTGACGATCTTACATGAGATCGTCAGTGCTTTTCCAGAAATTTTTTTCGGGAAAGGCGGCTGTTTTCCCGGAAAAAGTGGCCAGTCTAGACACAGCCTGGGAGCCCAGCGGGCTGTGCTTGGGATACCTGCTCCATGTGTCTAGGTGTCCATCGTGCACTGAAGATTCAGGTGTATTCAAGGGTGGGGAAGGGGTGTAAAATGATGGGGGTACTTCTTTGAAAAATATCCACCCATAAGAAAAGTTCCACCCCTTTAGTTACCTCTCCCATTACACTGCATGTTCTCTGAACATCCTTGCGCAATTGAAACTGGAGTCAACCTTCGACGGGGCTCCTAGGTCTTCGCTCCTTCCGGCGTGATGGGGCAGTTCACATCTCTCCGAGCTGGTGTCCCAGACCCTCAGCAGATCTGGGCGGGGAGACGCCGCTGCCTTGGTTAACCCTTGGACAGAGGTGGAAAGTAACCAAGTAGAAATACGTCATTACACCGCTCAAGTTCGCTTTTTCAGTATTTGTACTTTACTCAAGTAATTTATTTTTGTGATACTTCAACTTTTCTCAAGTAGGTTTTTTTTTAGGAAATATTCTACTTGTTACTCCACTACTATTTCCGGAAACGCTTAGTTACTCCCCACTTTCATCACCCCACTGACAGTTGCACAAGCTCCAGCCAGACCTCCATTCCAACCCTGCTTCACCACTCTTCCTCCCACCCAGATGCCCACTCTCACCCCCTTCCCTATCTCATTGCCTGGCAGCCTATAGGGGAGCCTGCACTACCCTGCCTTGGCAATAAATGGTGATGTTTGCCTTGCCCACTGTGTGGATTTCTGGCCTGTCTCAAGTCTGGGGTGACAAAGCATACAGGCAAGGCCTGAGAGCCAGGAATCGTTTTGCATAACAATGCAGATTAAGCCTGGTACGCGAGACCACGTCAAGCACACAGGACAAGCGGCCTTGTACTGGTACTTGTTTCTGATAAGCAAAAAGTACAGATGCAGCCATAGAACTGTCAACTGTGCACAGAGCAGCAACATCCTCAGCAGCAGGATGTACCCCAGATAGGGGCATTGGGCATGTGACGTATCCTACACAACACGTCATCTATTGGTGAACATTATTAGAACGACCAAGTCTCGCTTTGCTATAAATTGGCCTTAGTAAGAACAATCGGTGGGAGGGAATGGGCAGGACTGACCCACACGTCTTCCTTGATGGAACTAGAAGTGATTCGGCCCTTCACACCGGCTACGTCAGTGGTGGCGTTCCTATGGGTGGGAAAAGACGGAACCACGAACTCCTGCCTGGCACTGTAGGTAGCATACGGGTGAAGTGTGAGTGAATTAGGGTTTATTATTGTATATAGTAGATCTTTTAGCAATTGTTTTTGTATTGCTTTGCGCTGTATTAATTGCTTTAGAATGTATAGTATTTAAAGTTTAAATTGTATAGCACTTGTTCTTAAGGCTAATAACTGTATTACCTGCTTAAAGCTTGCAATAAATAAGAAAGTGGTTTAAGTAGCCCTAGAGTGTCCTGGTTTCCCTTGGATCTAAAATAAATCAAACCACATGACACAGCCCCCTCCCACACACGGACCCCTCATTTTGATCTCATCCCAGAACAAAATGACTGTTTGTGACTAATCAGATTACTGAGTTTTCATTCTGACAGTCACGGCCACAGGGACACACACACATCTCAGAACCTCTGCTGCTGCCAAGTTCGGTTCAAGTGTTTATTCGCAGAGAAACAAAGTCATTCTAGGTAAGAAACCAAACAGATTCTATTGTGCTTCCAGGACGGTTACAGCAGTACTTGCGTTGCACAGGAATACAGAAGCATGTGAGGTCCCAGCAAGGGACAGCAGCCCATCTCGCAAGGGTGCTCCGATTACTGTGTTCAGAAAAGCACAGCAAATGTACAGCCACGGGTTGCGGACGTGTACGGGAACAAACAGGAGCTTACTGGCATTTATTTTCCTGGAGGCTAATTCCGTTTTGCCAAGGGATAACGTACATGACAAAGTTGCAAGTGACGTGCTGAGGAGAAAGGGGAGAAAGGGGAAAGTTACTTTGCACAGATAAAATGCAGATGAACCAAACTGGTCCTGCACTGGACACAAATAGTTACTGGCTTGGGAAGCCGGTGGTGTATTGCAGAGCCGAGAAGGTGGCTCTTTAAATGATCCGCACTTGTGACTGTTCTGGGACGAGAATATTCCTCAACAAGAGACGAGGGAGTTTTCCACAGGCCCGAGCGCATCGCCACGGCCATCGATGTCAGCAGGCAAAGCCGAGTGTGATCCGGTTAGCTCCCCCAAGGGGTCTCTACCACAACTAGACACCCACAGATTGGACAAAGGGCCTGTGGGACTGCAGTGCAGACATTCGTGTGTGGCTTGAGCCCCGGAGCCAGGACGCTGCCAGGCGGGATGTCTGCTCTGCCGTTAAACAGTCCCTTAGCGCGAGTGGTGAGAGACAAAGTCAGCTGCCGCGGGCCACCCCAGGGGTGTAACTGCAGTGTCAACAGACCCTAGGGGTATGTCTAGACAACATGCCTCTGCCGACAGAGGCATGTAAAATAGGCTACCCGACATAGTCAAGGAAGCCAGGATTTAAATATCCCCGGCTTCATTACAATAAAAATGGCCTCCTCATTGTGCCGGCTCAGCTGATCGTCGGCACATTGCGCGAGTCAAGACGTGGCGCGGTCGACAAAGGAATCCTTTGTCGACCGCTCCCTTGTGCCTTGTGAAACGAGGTTTACAGGAGCGGTGGACGAAGACTTCTCTTGTCGACCGATTCGCGTCTTGACTCACGTGCTGTGCCAACGATCAGCTGAGCCGGCACAGCACGGCGGCCATTTTTATTTTAATGAAGCCGGGGATATTTAAATCCCCGCTTCATTGACTCTGTCGGGTAGCCTATTTTACATGCCTCTGTTGGCAGAGGCATGTAGTCTAGACGTACCCTAAGTGCCTAACTTCAGCCACGACTTTCCACAGCAGGAGTGTGAAGTTCCGACGGAGCGCACAGGTTTGCTGAAAGGGCATGTTAGTGCAGTGAGTTCACTAGTGCGTGTAGCAGGACAGCACGCACCACTCTGGAAACTGCACATGCAAGTGAATACCTAGCTGTGCCGCCAGCAGTAATGGCATGCACAGTTGCAATGCTTGTGCATGGAGGCATGCCTCTGATCATCTGTAGACTATCTGGCTCTCGAGCCAAATACGGCTCAGTATGGAGCCAAATATGGCACTTTTGTCCTTCCCAAAATACATGCAACTTTTAAAATGAAAATGAAAACTTAATTCACAATTTTAAAACCTCTTAATTAGTCATGCAGCCTGAATGCGTGCATGAACTGAATGTGACCAGTTATGATGTAAACTTCAAAGAAATGTGGGAAAAGAAACAGCAGAAGTCCCATTAAATAAAGCCTCTGATTACAATGTTTCATTTTTTCTTCCGCTTTTTGAAATTTTCCTTCTGTTTTTTTGCGTTTTTACTCCATTTTTAGCTCCAGCAGTTTATACAGTCCAGAAACCATCAGGACACATCTACACAGCAGGGGAAAACTCGAATTAAGCTACGCAACTTCAGTGACGTCAATTGCGTAGCTGGAGTTGAAATAGTTTAATTCGGCTTTTGGTGCTGTCTACACAGCAAGGAGTCGAAGGAAGAGCACTCTTCCTCTAACTTCCCTTACTCCTCGTGAAATGAGGGTTACCATGAGTCGGAGTAAAAAGTCCTCCAGCTCGACATTATTAAAGAAAGGCTTGTAGTGTAGACGTGCACTGTGTTATTTTGGAATCACATCAGTTCCTCAAACTAACGCTGCTGTACAGACATAGCCTCTGGGAATTGTTCCCCAGTCACATAATTGCATGGAACCAGGAGGGGGGACGTGTGTACAGTGTTGGAAAATATCTCAGTGCTGGATTGGGTTTAGCACCTCGCACATGTTGCACATGCCCCTGGCAAAGCATGTGAGTGCAAAGCTTGGGGAATTCTCTGCTCAGTATGGAGGCTGCGTCTGGGCTGCCACTCCTGGGCTGGGTAACCTGGAGCTGAATGAATGTTTGCAGAAGATTATAGAAGCCACATGGATGCGAGGCAGCTCTGGTCGCTCTGATAACGGATTAAGGAGCTGATGTAGGCGTGACTCATTTCCTTCCTGAGCTATAGCGGGGGATGAGACGTTGATAAAATCGTGGGCACAAACTTTCAAGAACGACTCTGCCAAGCTCTGGCAGGGAGCAAATGCAAACAGCCGACTGCCTGAGCCCGTCTCGGAGTCTGGGGCCAGCCCCTGCTCTGTTAACCACCCCCCACCATGCTGCGGCTCTGCCTGGCACTGCTGGCCACGGCCCAGCTCGGGTGCTCGGCCCCCTCGGCGGGGCCGCCGCCCCCGGGGGCGCAGTGCATCGAGCACGACTGCTTCAGCGTGGTCTGGGGGCGGGGGGTGTTCTCCGAGGCCGGCCGGCTCTGCGCGGCCAGCGGGGGGCATCTCATGACGGTGCGATCCACGGTGGCAGCGGACGCCATCTCCCTGCTGGTGCCGCGCCCGGGCGCCGCCAGCCTGTGGGTCCGGCCGCCCGTC